AAAATCTTTTTGGGGAAAAAAAAAAAAGATTCACCTGACAAGGAAAAAGAGAATGAACAGGATGATGTTAATGAAAAATTGACAAAAAAGACCCAACAACATGGGGTTGCTGCTGATGTTAATATTTCCACTGAGAGTATGGTAGCTGGAAAGTTCCAAAATACTGGAAACATGATGAAACCTGATGAAGCTATGGAGGCCAAAATTCAACAAATAAGACAAAAGCAGCTAAAGATGACAAAACTAAAGATGAAAGTGTAGTGGTTGGAGACACCTTTCTGTTGGACGTCCCCACCTAAGTGTTCAATCAACATCACGGAGTTCCTCGAGAAAGCCAAAGGTCATGCACATCTGGTGACAGCAGATGATCTTTTGGTCAGTCCCAAAGAATTAAAGAGTTGAAAAAAGAATTGTCAGTCTTTGTGATTGACAAGCTTTCACGCAAAATTTGTCACTCTACAAAAGACTCTATAATTAAGTCATTGATTTCTCTGGGGATAAAACCCCCATAAGGTTATCAAAGTAAAGGGATTTTTCATGTTGGATGTACTGCTACCCAAACCTACCATTTGTGAAGCCACTTTGATCTCATAACTAAAGACCTTATTTTGCTTACAGAATATGAAGACAGTTGGGAGGACCATTGTATCAATATTTGAGGTTCCTCCTCAGATCGTCGGGGAGCACTTGGCTTCTTATCTGTCCCAATTTGGGCAGATACTCAGTGCTTTCTCTGACGATTTGACTGGTGGATGGAGTTTTGAAATCATGATAGACTGGAAAGCCTTCATCTCCATCCCCAACTGTCTGGAAGTAGCACACCAGAAGATGCCAATTATAGTCACCGGGCATAGACTAACATGCTGGAAGTGTGGATAACTGGTCACCTGTCTTCTTCCTGCACAGAGAAGAAGTCCCCAGAGATTCTGGTGCCTGTCGACAGAAGTCCCCCTGTGACCGAGTCTGTTACATCCGTCTCGCCTGTAATGGGCATGCCAGCGACTGGGACTGGTGTGGTTAAACCCCTGGTTGAGTCTGTTTCTCAGCCCCCATGAAAAGCCTTTGCCCACCGCTAGTGCGGTTGTGGAGAAGGAAGGGGAATGGCAGGTCATTGGCAAGGTCAAATGGAGGCTCTGGGCAGTGGGACCTTGTTCCACTGAGGTCCCCATGGCTTAAGACACACACAGCCCCACTCCCTCTACCAGTACCAAGGGCGACTCTTCGACCACCTATTCGGACAAAATATGTCAACAGTGGCTAAAATACGAGCCCTCTTTCGAGAAAAAGGAAAAATTACAAAAATGAAAAGAATCCCCAAAACAACATCCTGGAAAAATTATAAGACAATCCACATCAGCTCTATTGTCTCCATCCTCTAAACAGCCTCCTATGGCTCCACTCCTAGTCTTGCAAACCATAACCCTGACTCCTTCCAAATTGACTCCACTGAAAAAAATCCTTCTAAATCCTCCTTAAAAAAAAAACCCACTCCATCCAAAACTCCAAATCCATCCCCTGTTAAAAAACCCAACAATTCACCTTAAAAAACTGAAGCACAAAAGAGGCAATGCAGCCCTTCATTAGACACTGCAGAACCAATCAAAGAAAAAAAAGTAAAACAAATTTCTTTTTAATAAGGGGGAAGATGTGTGTCATGTGGAAAAACACCAATCTGAAAGAGCTTTTTCCCAATCCCGCAAAGCAAAAGACCTAAAAATACTTTTAAATTTAAAAAAAATAATAAATAATTTGGATTGAAGATCCAAAAAATTTTCCCCTTGCGAAAAGAATATTGGCTGTTGTAAGAGCGGGACATGGCTCAGAAAACATTTGGGCTGTGTTACGAGAAGCTAATAGCGCCTTCAATGTCTACCTGCCATTAGCTTATTTTGACAATCTAAATGAGAAGAAACTGAATCTGGCTCCATGGGAGAGGCCGTCGGTGTCCTACCCCCAGCCATGTTCAATCCAGGAGAGCAACCCTAATCGGTTTTCACTATGGCTCTCTGGTTAGCAAGTATAAATGTACAAGGCCTGAGGTCTGAATCTCACAGGATGAGGCTCTCTCGTTACCTTCAGTGCTTTGGGGTGAATGTTTGTTGCATACAGGAGACCCAGTTTTCTACTTATGATCGTGAGGATATACTGTCTAAGGGGTTCTCCCTCTATTCAGCATGTTTTGATGGTCATTCAAGAGGTGTCTCTTGGCTAGTGAGCAAGTCTTTGAAGGTTTGTGTACTCTTGTCTTTGCAGATCCGGCGGGCAGGCTTTGTGTGCTGGATGTTACCATAACTGATAAGGCTCTGTGTCTCATTGGGGTTTATGTGCCAAATAACCATTCTGAGTGGTCTGCTTTGTTTCGGCAGATCGAGTTGTTCTTGACAGTATCTCATTAGGTAGTTTTAGGTTGTTCGCTTTCGCCTTTGCTTTATATTCTTGTGTTGGAACCTTTCCTTCGCAAGCTAAAGGCGAATCCGGTTCTGCGTGGAATTTCCCTGCCCGGGTCTACCACCTCGGCCAGGTATTCTGCCTATGCTGATGTTTCAGTTCTTATGTCAAGCAGAGCCGAGATTGGCAAAGTCAGTAAAAGATCAGTGGTTATGAGATGGTGACGGGCCAAGATCAACCGCGATAAGTCTGTTGGCTTGCGGTTGTGTGCGTGGAGGGAGTTTCTCTTCTTGGACTTTTCCTCTGGATGGATGGGCCGGTCAAGATTTTTGGCATCTGGTTCGGTCCTGATTTCCAGTTGGATATGAATTTGGTTGGACATACAAGGGAAGGCTGAGATCATAGTTAATCTGTGCTCTCGGAGGAATCTTTCCTTGAAGGGGAGGGTGGAAGTATGTGTTTCACACATCTACCCGAATCTCCTTTACCAACTGTCTGTACTTCCACTTCCGTATGCTGCACTAATACCATCGTAACATTTAATTTTTTTATTTAAGAAAATAATGATAAAAAGATAAAGGTAGAAATGAAAGGATTGATTTGATTAATAAATCTCTTGTTTCATCCATCAATTAATGATGAATAAAAATTAGTTTTGATCTAGTATATCAGTAGATATGCATTATCATTTAATGTGTGGAAAATTCTATTCTCAACTGATATTTAGTGTAGCCTTTGAAGTTTATATATTTACATGTAAAGGAAAATTTTTAAAAATAACCAATTCTCCAATTTGCCTATGTTTTTGCATTTTTAATATTTTTTTAGAGCAAAATACTTGTAGACATTTAAAATTTAATTTTTAGTAATATTCTTTTTTTTATTAACTTTCATCTAATTCTATTTGTTAGTAAGAATTACAGTTACAAAAAGAAATCCTTTTTCTTTTTAATGTGAAAACAAGCTTTTCAAAGGTAAACATGAAAACAATAGATATATGAATAAATTGCAAATTGATGTTACCAAAATTTTTACACATTTAGCATGCATATTTTTTTAAGATTTCAAAAAAAAAAACCTTTCAGATATTATTAAGTATGAACAATCTTTAAGTATCCATATAAAAATGAACCTAAGCATGTATGTTTTTTTTTTCTATTTAAATTTTGTTTTGTAAGATTAAACTTATGTTATTGGGTCACTAATTCTTTTCAGCCATTTACTTTAAATTGTATGACATAGATATTATTCAGTGCAAAAAGAAATATTAATGTAATATTAAGCTACTTGTGTTTCACATTCCTAATTTGAGCAATTGAAGAATATTGATTATAATAATTTTTTTTGTTTTAGTATTTCTCGATCTATATCAAGGTTTTCTTTAATTAATCTTGACTGCTTTATCAAGATTTTAAAAAAGTATTAACTTTGAAAAGTAAAATTGTTTATAGTATAAGACTTGCATTTTTTATTTTTCTTTCAATTCATTAAAAGATTTTGAGAATTTGCTATTGTATAATATTGAGTAAAATAACGAGTGCAGTCTTAATCTGTATTTTTGCAGAAATACTTGTATTAAAAAAATGCTATCTAAAAATTGCACCATTATATCATCTTCAATGTAAAATTTGCCCTTTGAAATAGAGAATCTTTCCTAAAGTTTTGCAATCATTTTACTTAAAGATTTATGCAATATATATATATTTTAAGACATTTTTATGTTTATACATTCTTCTTATAAATACAAATACTTAAGTAAATGCTCTGTTTTATAATAAACAGTATTAAACAACATTTACCAAGCTGAATGTCTGAGAAATTTTTATAGAAAATTTTCGTCCTCTGACAGGAATCGAACCTGTATCCTCTATCGAACCATCATATAGCTTGACGTGCCCAAACCGTTTCGGCCACAGAGGAGCATTCGGTTAACAAGGTCAATTTTAAAGTTTAAAGACAGTAAAATCGACCTTGCTAACCGAACGTTCCTCTGTGGCCAAAACAGTTAAGGCATGTCAGGCTATATGACGGTTCCATAGAAGAGACAGGTTCGATTCCTGTTAGAGGATGAAAATTTTCTATGAAAATTTCTTGGACATTCAGCTTGGTAAATGTTGTTTAATACTGTTTATTATAAAACAGAGCATTTACTTAAGTATTTGTATCTATAAAAAGAATGTATAAACATAAAAATGTCTTGAAATAATTGTTGGACTTTGTCCATTTCATAATATTTACATATGTATACATGCAAATATGTTTTAGAGTTCAGCACTTAGTGATTGTCTTCAGATTTAAATGCTCTTCTTATGAATAAGACTTTAGTTTAATAAGAACAAATAGTAAATATTAAGGTTACATAAACTGTTTTGCATTGTAAAACATATCAAATGGAAACTTAATAAATATTAATAAAATGTCAATTGTATTTCATTATTAAGTCACTTATAAATGACTAAAATTTAGATAAATTAGTGAAACCCCAAAAATTCCTGATTGAATGTTGTGTGATTTAATGGCTAACCATTTTTTTTTCTTCTTGTTTCAGGTGAGCATTCACTGTGAAGGGATACTGTGTATTTAGTGAAGCCCTGTAAAGTGATAGGCACATTATGTCTGACCTGGAGGGTAGTTGTAACTCTCCAGCTTATTCTGACCCTGAAGAAAATTGTGATACTAACCTGGAAGGTGCTTGCGGTGGTGGTGGTGATGACACTTCTTTGCGGGGCTCAACTCTCAGCTTTGAGCAGTTGCCTGAGCATGGTACTGATGACACTGATAACTTGAGTATGGAGGTAAATCTGGGGGAGAGTGGATCTCGCCAGGCTAGTGAGATCAGTTCACTCTCTTATCAGAACCTCATTGATGATGGTGAAGGTCTTGAAGGTATCAGTCAGCAGCGTGAGAGTGATGAAAGTGGTGAGTCTTGTATGAATGATTATCCTGATGTGGAGATTGACTTCCCCACTGATGATATGGACCATTCTGCTGACATGCTGGCTGATAGCCTTACAGAGAAATTATGCAAATGTACTGGTAAAGATCTTGGCTCTCGTCAGAACTTGGCTCCTGATATTCTTGCACAGAACAGTATCCACTCTAAAAGTGGGTCTGACACATTGTCAGATGGCAGTGAGAGTGTCGGTGGCAACCATCATTATAGTAAACATTCACCTGGTAAGAGTGACATTTGTTCTGATTTTCTGGATGGTAAGGATTCTAAGCTTCTTGAACGAAATGGAATCATTAACACTGCTGCTGATATTGGTTTAGAAAAGCCCTGGGAGGTAGCAGTCACACTCCGAGCAAAATCAAAGGACTCCAAATACAATCATGATGAAAATATTAAAAAGAGGAACAGTTTAGAAATCCGAAACAATATTCCTACAATTGGAGAAGTGAAGAATTATGATGACAGGAACGGCTCATCTTCAATGAAATACAATTCTCAAGGGGCAAAACCAAAGATGAAGCGTCAATCACCAGGATTTGCTCGACGTGTAACAAGTAGCAACAGTTCTGGTAGCTGCAGTGATCGTGATGGCTCCAGTTCTGAACGAGAGAGTCTGTCCTACAGTAACCAGGATATAAAACCACTTCCAGATTCTGGTTCCAACTTGCCAACCAATCCTGATGCCGCTTCTCACAATGAAGTAACTTCTGAAACCAATTTGGCTCGAAAGAATATCAACATTGAAAATGAATATGATTATGTTAAGTATGCACGCATTCAACAGGGTAATTCTTATGTAGGGATGCGGCTTGCTTATTCCAGTTCAAGTGATTCACTAAATTTTAAACGGAATAGTATTGGTATTAATAGCATAAGTAGCAACTCCCCTGAAAGTTCACGAGAATGTTCTCCAGAAAAAATAATCCACCAAAAGAATGGAGCAGAGATGTCAACTCAGAATCATCAGCAGGTAAAGGTCAACGAGGATTGTTTGACAGAGATTCCTTTGAACAATACTGATCCTTCACCTGTTGAGGAAAAACGTGCATTCACATTGTCTCCTGAGAACACTGAGTGTGACAGTGCTGAAGTGGAGAGTGTACTGTCTGAAGAGGAGAAGTCCAATGCTGGAGGAATGCCTATTGTTGAAGATGGTTTGTCTGGTAGCCAGGCCAGTGATGTGGATGAAGCATTTGCTCATGATTGTGATTCTCCTGCCAAAATGCTACAACTGAAACAAAAGTCAGAACTTGATCAGGATCTCAATGGGGAGGAACTGCAATTTAATGGTAAAGGCCTGGATAATAATAATGATGATGATGATGATGATGATGACTGTAGTAAGGATAATCAGGATGCCAAAGAGGCACTGAATCACACAATGGCTGATATCAAGACAGCTATCCAGAAAAGTAAGAATGTATCCTTAAAGTCATCTTTTCCTGAAGAATCAACTACAGAAGAGCCAGTTTGGATAAAAAGGTAAGTTTTTTTTTTTTTAATAAAAATGTTTTATAAGTTTATTATTTATTAATTCATACCGATCTATTTTTTATAAGGGGGTGATGAAAAATTCTTGGTCTAAACTATTTAACAAAATCTGACTAAACACAATTTTGTCGAGAATAGACTCCTTAATTGTACCAAAAAATTTTCAGCAGCCTTTCATATATCTTTGGCATTTATTTATTTTATTTATCTATTATCAGTCTTTGCTTTAAATACTTTTCTTTTCTATATTTTGTGTTGTATTTAGTTTTAAGCCTGGAAATAATTTTAAATTTTTTTCACTTGCTAATGGCCTGATTTCCTTTAAGTATGCAAAGCAAACTTAACAACTACTGATGCACTTTCATCCCTACTTCTATTATAGCTGACTTATAGAATCTACAATATTCTTGTTCTCTTAGCACTTTCATCCATTTTCAGTTTCAAAGTGTGAATTTGATTTATAGGAATTACTACAAGAGATGAAATGCAACTGATAAGTAAGTTATTCTTAACTTACCATTTCTAAAACAAAAACATAATCTTTATTTTATCAACAGAATAACAAGTTCATAGTCTCAATTCATTTTCTTGTTTATTCAAATTAATGTCTGGCTTTATATTATGCCTCTTAGTTTATTGTATACATTAATTATCACTTACATACTTTTTGTAAGGTAGAAATTATTTGTTTTTATAGTCTGCTTTTGTCTAGCCTTTAAAATTTAGCATGATTATGTATAAAAATAATTTAATTTATGTAGCTGTCATTTTTTACAGGATTAGAGAAATTTAAAAAATGTTTTTCTAATGTAGGACATTAGTTGAAAAAAAAAAGACGACTCAAATAGAGTTTTTGAATCTGTTTAAATATGCTGAACTGTTCATAATTCACAGCTGAACACTTGCTTTAAAAATCAATATTATATTCTATAATTAATATATTTTTTAAAGTTTTATTTATTTTACTGAAAAAACCTACTTTTCAAGAGATTAAAAATATTTTTATATCGTTCTCAAATCTTCTAACTGTTATGGCAAGACTGTTACTGTTAACAAAAATACATCTTGCAATATTTGATGTGCAAGAATCCTTTTGTGAGGAGTAGATTTCCTTTATCAATATCTTTTTTCAATACACAATCAACAAAATGACAACTGAACTCTTTTTAATTATTTCATCACAAGCAAGGCAATAAAACTACTAAGTAGAGTTGGTTGGTTTGGCAATTTATGTTTCGGTTTCCATTTTTTTCCTTGGTGTCATGGTTTTCGACTTGGTTTTTCGGTTTTTAATTTAGTATTTTTGCTTAGAGGAAGCCACTCATTTTCTTGTGTAATGATAGCCTTTCCAGTCTATATCTGATTTCATTTGAGATTGGTAAATTAATCCATTCAACTCGCAAATTCTCATGTATTTCTGATCCAATCATAAAAATATTCATATGGCTGGAAAGAAAGTAAAATAATTTTTCTAAATATGTAACTTGTATGTGCTTTTATTCATTGAATTATTTTTTTTTACAGCAAGTTAAAAAGGTATTTTGCTTTGAACAGCCAAAAATGCGAAACTTAATTTTTTTTTTTTTTTTTTTTTTTTCTAAGACTAATTTTTACATTACTTTGTTTTGCAAAAATCAACGTGACCAATCTTTATCAATATTCTTGAAATTGTACACTCAATTAGAAGACACCTTAAACTACAACCAGGAAGATGTTCATTTCTGCTCTTGACCCATGGAAGCAAATTTTTTCAAAAATTATAAAGGAAGTAAAAAAAAAAAAAAAAAAAAAAGCAACTGATAGTTAAATAAATGTGTGGTATAAGAGCTTTCAAATTATTGAAACTACTGTCTGACACTGACTAGTGAGTAAAAAAGAATAATTTTTACTTTGGGTTTTAAAAAAATATTTGCTACATAGAAACATAATTTTATTTGTACAAAGCAAACAATTTTTTACACTAGAGACTCACATATCTGGAAATATACACATTTTAAAAGTGAAATTAAGAACTATTTTAATTATTCTTAATATCTAATTTAGGTGCATTCCCTAGATAAAAAACAAATTTATTTATAAAAAAAAACTTCATTCATTTTTCTTGTTTATAACAACTTTATTTTGTGATTGGAAAACTAGAAAACAATCACATATAACCCTTACAAAAAAATCCAACTTCATAAATTTTAACATTAAGATGAAACTGACAACTATTTTTTTTTTTTTTACTTTCTATTTTGTTGTTAACTTAATTTTACCACAAAAATTTTTTTTTTTTTTTTTTTTTTAAAACTGAAACAAATAGATTTCAGACATCATCTTGTATTTTCCTTTTTTCTGTTTGAAAACATGATTTCCAAGTGTCATATCTGTCATATTTCCTTTTTCTCATTTCTTTTGTAAGCAAACAGATTTCACATTTATTTACTAAAATTTTAGTTAACATCTGAAAGTTTTTTCAATAGTGTTTCTTTGGATATATACTAAAGTAAAAACCAAAAAACTGAATCAAAAACCATTGTACCAAGGAAAAAAATGGAAACTGATACCAAAACATAAATTGTCAAACCGACCAAATCTACTTATTGCCTTGCTTGGGATGAAATGATTAAAAAATAAAAACAAATCTTCAAAAATTTACAACTGGATCAAATTGGCTTAATAAATAAAAAAAGCAGCTGATTTACTGCATTTAAATTCGTAACATCTAGGTACCAAAGAGGAAAGCTCATCACAACAGTTATGAAAATATTTCTAGAAAAGGCACAGGGAATCTACGTTATAGCAGTGGAAAAGTGACTGAAGCTGAGATGCCATTGCAGATTCTTTTTTCTTTTTGTATGAAAAAGTGATATAATGAAAATAATTACTTAAAAAAATGTTATGAAGTAATATTAAGATAACATAAAATAATATGAAAATATGCAACAAATGATGTTCATGGCTAACAAATTTTTGTTGACATGGTAATTGTGCAAAACAATCAAATTTTCAGTTTTATTTTTTTATATAAGATTTGTAACGTCTTACAAAGATTAACAAGCAAACCTATTGTTGAATAAAATTAACATTATCTGAGTTTTCTGAAAGTACTTCAACATCGGCTGAAGACCAGATGCAGCCTTCTAGCATTGTTGTAGATACTGAAAATAAATTTGAACTTCTTAATGAGTCACTGTCCATGATTAGTGAATCACCAATCAAGCATCAAAAACTATTTGTTGTCTAATAAAAATGTAAACAAAGCCAAAAATAAGGTTGTTTATTTTCTACCACTTTGGTCGACATTTAACCACAAATAACAAATTCTGTTGATTTTTATGGTCATAGTTCTTGTATGAATATTAAATAGCATTCAAAATTTAAGATCAAGGTCAAATTATCTTATTTGACCTTTAAACAAAAAATAAATAAATCATTTTTTTTAGAACTATCCATGTACTTTAAAATGTTATATAATTTAGCTTTGTACATGTAAAAACAACTAAGATATTGATATTTAAACTTTGTGACTATTTTTCAAAATTCACCTTTTTGGCAAGGGTCAAAAGGTCATATCTTGGGAATCCATTGTCCTAGAGATGTAAAATAGGTATCATTCAATTTCTATCCTGAAGCTCAGTTAGTGTACCAAATTAGAAAAAAAAATCTGTCTCGGGTGATGGTCAGACCCTTATTGATTTGACATGGAATGACTCATATACTTTGTGTTGTAAAAATGTGTTAGGGTTTTGGCATTGTTTTAAGCCTTTAACCTCATTACCACTAACACAAGAGTCCCCCAATAATACCTTATCTTACCACCAGGCTTACCAACTAGGAACATCTTCAGTCCAAGGATAGGGCTTCAGCACCTAGTGAAGATACTTAGAAGTACATGAAGTTTTACAAAAGGAATACTTACTATAAGACTTGGTCACAAATTGGAAAATTCCATCTATTGTGTAAATTAAATCAAAATATTACTGTCCTCAGTATAAAGAATAATTTTGGAACTTGATTTATAGCTTTTAAGTGAATACCCAACTAGAATTTCCTGCATAAAATTTAATCTCAATTTTTAGAGTATGTACAAATAAAAAAAAAAAAAAAAAAATTATTACAGATTAAATATTAACAATATTTGGGTCATTATTCTTATAGAAATACCAGTTTGTAATTTTATTTTTCTTGTCCTAAACAAAAAGTTATAAAATTTATTTCAAATATTTAAAATCTCTAAGAGAAATGGAAAGTCTATAAGAGAGACTGTCAGACTTGAAGAATATGTCTAAAGGACAATTGGACAAATGTTTGGCAGATTGTATTTGAGAGGAGTTCTAAATAATGGACAGTGAATACTAATAGAGAGTGAAAAAAAAAAAAAAAAATGAAAGAGTCAGCATACAGTGGGTGTGGAAATGATCTTGACCTGATCTACTTTCTATAATAGGACTAAATGATTAAATATCAGAATTTAAAAATCACCAATCCTTTCTTTGGCTGAAAACTTTTCATTAACTTGTCAGCTCTGTCAGTTTTTCAATATGGTGTGGCACCCACTGCTCAACAGGGTCATGATTTAATAAAGATAGGAATTGAGAACACCTTTTGGCCCTCTTGGGTGGGAGATTATAAAACTCTTTAATCCCCCATAAATAGATTCTACTAAATCATCTATCAACAGTAATTTGAAAAAGTGATGAAAATTTGTTGCTATGCTCTTGATTCCAGGAAGGAATCATTTTTTTTATAACAGCTAATCACAAATATCTTACAAATATTTAATGTGAAATATATATTTACTGGCTTGAATGTCTGAGAAATTTCATAGAAAATACGTGTCCTCCAACAGGAACCAAACCTGTATCCTACACTGAACTGTCATATAGCCTGATGTGCTATACTATTTAGCTACAGAGGAAGCATCTGGATAAGCAAGGTCAAATTACTGTTTTTTTCCCATGATTTCTCTTGAATGCTCGTATCTGCAGTAAATGTTAATACTATTT